TGGTTTTTTAATTAATGATTTAATGGAATAATTTGTCATTGGGATAAAGAGAAGTAAATAATGCAAGGTTTATTCACACACAAACACATCCAAACACATAAACACATTATATATATACATTACATACATACGCACAAGCATATACATAGGCACACAGACACATGCACATATATTTAAATGTACAGTGTGTGTGTGTGTGTGTGTGTGTATATATATGTGTGTGTGTGTGTGTGTGTGTATGTATGTATGTATGTAATGTATATATATAATGTGTTTATGTGTTTGGATGTGTTTGTGTGTGAATAAACCTTGCATTATTTACTTCTCTTTATCCCAATGACAAATTATTCCATTAAATCATTAATTAAAAAACCACTGTGGTTATCAAAATGTACTTTTATCTATTAGTTCTTGGTGGAATAAATATAAAGCGGTATGAAAAAAGATATCCCACATATAAAATTACTTTGAAGGCTGACTTTAACAATCAGTTTTGTGCAGAATAACATTATTTTTGCTTTTGAAAGGAAGAAAGTAATTAAATACTGGCTGAATTCTTGGCAACTGTACAACAGTAGAAGTGTCATAGGTCTACTTTAATGTTTCTCAACTCAGCCAGCTGGGAATTCTGGGAATTGAAGTCCACACATCTTGAAGCTCCTGAAGTTAAAAAATATTGGCCTAGTTCTATGTATATTCTGCAGCAAAAACCCCAACACAGGTAGAATTCTACTTTCAAGGAAAGTCCATGCTGTACTTCTCTTTCTGTACTGTGTTATGTTCTATAATAGCATATATGAAAGGTGGGGAGAGAAAGAAAGCAGCATAATTGTTTTACATTGTAACCCATATAAAAGGTACAGAAACTTTCCTCAATATATATTTCTTGACTAGAAGCAATCAAACAGATGTATATCTTGGGTAGCCAAATTGCCAGTCTCTATTGGCCACAGAACAAATAAAGAAGGCAGCATAATGCTCCTAGTCACAGAAGATCTAGCATAGAAAAACTACAGGTAGTCCTCAAGTTAGAACAGTTCGTTTAGTGACAGTTCAAAGTTACAACAGCACTGAAAAATGTGACTTATGACTGTTTTTCACATTGTCGACCATTGCAGCATCCCCATCATATGATCATCTTTTCTTACCTTCTGACAAGCAAAGTCAGTGGGGAAGCTAGATTCACTTAACAACCATTCTATTAATTAACAACTGTAGTGATTCACTTAACAAGCGTGGCAAGAAAGGTAGTAAAATGGGGCAAATTCATTTAACAAATGTTTTACTTAACATAAATTTTGGGCTCAATTGTGATCATAAGTTGAGGACTACCTGTATATAAAGCTGCCCAACAGAGCTGTTTTCAGTTGAGAGGTAAACGCTCCATGGAGCAGGTTAAATTCTTTATACCAGCTTGGATGCTTGATGACAAGATAGACAGACTGAGAGATGAAGTTCCTTCATTAGGACATCCTTTTCTCAAGAGCAAATCTTTGCCACATGTTAGAATTAAACTGACAGCCCAACCATAAAAGATTAATTTACCTATGGCAGGGAAATCCTAAATCTAGAGATGGTGCTATTACCGTGTTTCCCCGAAAATAAGACATGCCCTGCTAATAAGCCCAATCGGGCTTTTCAGAGCATGTGCCATAATAAGCCCTCCCCTGAAAATAAGCCCACCCCAACTATTTAAGCGCATGCGCAACCGGTCCCCGCCATTACCACTGTATCACCTACTGGTATAGCTTGCGGGGCAAAAAGAGGGCTCGCCGCAAAAACAGCGGCAGCCGAAGCAAAGTGCTGCCACCTCCTGCCCTTCCCTCCCACACATAAAGAGCCTGCCGCAAAAACAGCAGCAGGCCAGCAATGCGATCACCCCCCCCTCCCGCCTGTTTCTTCTCATGCAAAAAAACACCGCCCACTCCAATAGTAAAGGCAGCCTGCCTGGTTCCCTTCCCCGCCGTCCCTTTAGCGAGGGGTGTTGTGTTCCTCGCCCTTTCACCCATTGAATCCCTTTGTAAAAAAGATCTCATGAGTTCAACTCGCAAGTTTTTTTTACAAGAAGATTCAGTGGGTGAAAGGGCGAGGAACGCAACGGACCTGGAAAGGTAAGAGGCACACCTTGCTTCTCGCCCCCCCACCTGCAACCCCTCACTAAAGGGACGGAGGGGAAGGGAACCAGGCAGGCTGCCTTTACCATTGGGGCGAGGTGGGTGGTGTTGGGCCGCGAGGCGTGCCTCTTACCTTTCCAGCTCCGTCGCGTTCCTTGCCATTGTGTTCAGGGAAGCCCCGCCTTCTCGTGACTTCAAGAAGTTTGACTGACCTCGCAAGAAGTGGGTTTTTTTTACCAGCCACTTCCCTGAGCACAATGGCGAGGTACATGATGGAGCTGGAAAGGTAAAAGGTGAACCTTGCTTCTCGGCTGCCCCAGAAAATAATAAGCCCTCCCCTATAATAAGCCCAAGGCCATATTTCGTGGGGCAAAAGAAAATAAGACTAAGAATATAAGAATAAACAATCATTGCACAATGATATTTTAAATTACAAAATAAGGTTTCCCCTCTGTGGATAAACTATGACAAACTGATATATTAAGGAACAATATTACTGCCTATTTTGTTTTACGTACAAACAAATAAAAATAAAGAAATATAATAGACATGGCTGCAGTTGACCCAAAAGAATATTGAACACTTTGTGGTAGATATCCCTAGTAAAATCCTAAATAGCAAATGAAAAACAACTTCATTTACTAATGCAGTCCTGATTTTTACCAATTCATTGGCATCGTGATTAAATATGCACAAAATGGATAATTTAGAAATATTAACTAAAAGTGATACATTATAGGCTATTGAATAACACTCAATGCAATACTTTAAATACATAAAAAGTATACCTGGTAAATCTGAAGGATTAGCCATAATGCAGCCCATGAAGTGTGAAAAAGTACGAGCATGAACACATATAGCACCCAAGGAGAACAAGATACGATCTGTGTGAAAGACATCCAAGCTCCATCTTTCTGATATGTTGTTGTACAACGTTCTGACCAATCTAAGGGAAGTAATTTTAACTTTAAATAAAGGATTACGTTAAAAAAAAGATCATGACGAACTATGTTTTCATTTATAAAGTACCGATCCTATTTTTAGCGATAAAACAATCCCAAAATTGATTATTTATACTATACATAAGTGCTACATGTATATTAATATATTTAGCTGCCAGGAAGACCAGCTTACTCTAACAATAAATATGAGCAGCCATCATAGAATCAAAGAACTATTTGTAGCAAAATTCTCTGCAATGCAAACTATGTTCAGTAGAGATAAGGTTCTACATGCACAATGTAGCCTAATGAAAAGGTGTAGTTATATATTAATTTGTCTTATATAATCATATGTATACACTTGGACTCAAACCAGCTATTTGTAAACAAAAATTTAGATTGCATACATACAGAATACATATGTTGCTGCCAGTCCTTCATATTTTCCAGAAGGATGCTAGTTTTGTAACATTTTAGAATGCTGACCAATACTGTCCTCGAATTACATATTAGACTTACTAGAGATCAACAAATTATATTTTCTCTCTAAACAATGAAATAACAGTTAGAAATACATACATATAATAGTTCCATGTATGGCCCAAATATTCAGCAAGATCAAGAAAAAGAGGAACAGGATGAAGTAGGCATGGTTACCTACACCTGGATCAAAGAGAATCATTAAAGATTTGTTAATATAACATTCACAGAATAATTATTCTATCTAAAAATGGTACTCTCCCAACATACTATACATGGGGGTGGCTGGGTATAGGGAAATTAAATAGGATTGGTATATAGGTAGTCCTTGACTTCTGACTACAATTAAGCCTAAAAGTTCTGTTGCTAAGCAAAACAATTGTTAAGTGAGTTTTGCCCCATTTTATTATCTTCCTTGCCACAGTTGTTAAGTGAATCGCTGCAGTTTTTAAGTTAGTAAAATTATTATAAAGTGAATCTGGCTTCCCCGTTGACTTTGTTTGTCAGAATGTCAGAAAAGGTGATCACATGACCCCGGGGACACTGCAACTATCATAAATATAAATCAGTTGCCCGTATCTGAATTTTGATCACATGATCATGGGGATGCTGCAACGGTTGTGGGAAAAATGATCATGTAATTTTTTTCCAGTGCCATTGCAATTTTGAATGGTCACTAAGTGATTTGTTGTAAGTTGAGGACTACCTATATTTCAAAGCTCCTCTAAACTTAATATAACAAAAATACCAAAACCAAAACATGCAATGCAATCCCACATGAGACACTCCAAAGGAAGTCTGTCTTCAGTAAGTGTAATCAGAATTATTTTTAATCTTTAATCGCGTACCAACTCTGCTAACACTATCTAATGTTGTACACTGCCAAGCTGTGCACCATGTCAGCAACTCTTCACACAACACTCAACCACTACATATTTTCCTCTGTGATCTATTAATGGCCGCCCTTTTAAGACTTCAGAAATATTCCTGGCATAGACCCCCTAGGAAAGGAATCCTGGTTGTGCTAAAATAAACTCACCTATGCATCGTCCAATCCAAATGCAATGTTGATCATATCTAGCCACACATGAATTGCAAGCATGGCAATGCATAGATCTCAAAGGTTTCTTAATCTGAGTAAGAAAATACACAGAAAAAAAGATTATGAACACCTCACTGAATGTAGTAGTAAATGTTCTCCTGCGTTTCAAATTTTAGACCTTTATCATAAATTGAAGTTCACCCTAGAAAAATAGCTGCTTATATTAAATCTAACAGTAAGAGTTACAATCCCATCTTTAATCACTTGTTTGGATCCAGAAAGGCCTCCACTCATGTGTATATTTCGTGCCTCGGTGTTTGGGCAGCTTTCCATTCAGATCACGTATTCTGAAAGCTTCTTCCAACAGCTCTGAGATTATCTGATTTCATTTAGCCAGCGTCAGAAACGTTTTGTTGACATAACATTTATTGGCATTATGGAGTGTTGCTGTACTTTAATTTTAAATACAATGATGCTCCATAATGGGGAAAAATATATTTTATAGACTGCTGTGAATTAGAATGACTATCAACAAGGGTATGATATGATTAATCTAAATAAACATACAGGAAGACAAGGACTATGTTTGAACACACTTCCTCATTATGAGCATTTAAGGTGACTTGAAGGGCTCTTTGGATATTGATCCTGCTTTCATCACTTGGTGATGAGGACTGGGAGGACTGGTTCAAAAAATGCAATGCATTATGCTTGAAAGAATTACAGCAGGAAGGACAGTGTATTACACTCAGTCTTCATTAGTGAAACTGCCTTTCTTGTTCATGACTTAGCAAGTTCCTATGCTTACTAAGGGAAATTTCATATCATGTGTCCACCAATAGATGTTTAAAAACAAATAAATTCAAGTGAGGCAGTCCTAACAAGCAGAAATGATTTTGGTAGTGATGAGCCATTGCTATCCATGTTCCTTTTAAAATTTTACTCATATTTGCAGAGAGAAAAGTTCCCAAAGTGAGTTCTAAATTACATATAATAATTAGGTGTTAGTAGAGGTGGGCTGCTGCTTGCCCGTACCAGAAGTTCCGACTACTGCTTCATGCTAGCACAGAAGCCACACATGCACCCGCTCACATTTTTGCTTCTGCACTAGGTGAACCGGTTGTTAAATTATGTGACACCCATTTCTGGATGTTAGTACTGAGCAAAATATAAATTCACTCTCTCTAAGGAATGGCTAGCATGAAATTAGGGTCTCCAGAAACAACTAATATGTAAACATCTTCCCTAAAAGGGTACCAGACCAGCTAAGTTTTATATTCTGTTTTGATACCGTGTTTCCCCAAAAATAAGACAGGGTCTTATTTTCTTTTGCCTCCCCACCCAAATTTTGCTTGGGCCTTATTATCGGGGGAGCTTATTGGTTTGGGGTTGCTGGGTGGTTGCTCTCTTGCGAGCGGGCGTCAGAAGAGACGGGCACAGACTCAGGGGCAAACGGCTGTGTTGCACTATCACAGCAGCGCAACAAAGCCACCATGAGGTGACCATGCTCATGAGCAGCTGCCTGGCAACACCCCTTTCCAGCCAGGCAAAGTGCCACTCACCGACCCAGTAATATCCTAAAGGTGCTAAGCCGCGTTGCGCTCTGCCTGGCTGGAAAGAGAGGTTGCGTGAGCACTTGTTCTGACTCCAGCTCGTGTGACTTTGTGCCTCACCATGCCCCACTCTCCCTGCAGGGCTGGGCCAGGGTGCTGCCGCCGCCCTGCTGCCACCATGCTCCGAGCATAGCCGGCTTCCAAACTCCAGAGATCCGCTGTTGAGTCTTCCGGCAGTGGCCCCTCTGGGACTACGCTCTATGGTTGTGGGCTGGCTGCAGGAAGAGTCTTCCAACAGCCAGACCACAATGATAGAGCATAGTCCCAGAGCGGCCGCTGCCGGAAGATTCGGCAGCGGATTTCCGGAGTTTGGAAGCCAGTTATGCTCGGAGCATGATGGCGGCAGCGGGGCGGCAGCGCCCTAGCCCAGCCCTGCAGGGAGAGTTGGGCATGGTGAGGCAGGGAGGCACGCGAGCTGGAGTCAGAGCAAGTGCTCGCGCAATCTCTCTTTCCAGCCGGGCAGAGTGCCACATGGCTTAGCGCGTTTGGGATATTACTGGGTCAGTGACTGGTGCTCTACCTGGCTGGAAAGGGGTGTTGCCGGGCAGCTGCTTGTGAGAGCAGCTGCCAGGCAACCCCCCGCTCCAGCTGAGCACAGCGCCACCTACCAACCAGTGGTATCCTAAAGACATCAAGCAATGTGAGCGCCTTTGCCCCCCTTCCCGTGGCTCCTGCAGCTTTGCGCCTTCAGGATATTGCTAGGTTGGTGAGTGGCACTCTGCCTGGCTGGAGGGGGGGTGGGTGTCCAGGAGACTTATTATTGTGGGAGGGCGTATATTTTTGCCCACAGGAAAAATATGGCATGGTCTTATTATCAGGACATGTCGTAATTTTGAGGAAACAAAGTATTATAGTACACTATATTCATGTTTAAACCAAAGTGTGATAATTCAAAAAGTAACTTGAAGAAACATGCCTCTCTACTATCATTAAAAAAATCCTTTAAAAAAATCAAATTATTTAAGGCATCACTGCTCAACTTACAAGACATGTTGTGCAGAATGTTCTGAAGTTCAAAGAGCCAGATTCCCCAAGGTTAATAATATTCTGAAAGACAGATTAAGTTTTGCAAACATGTTTATATCTCAATGCTTCAGGGTATCATAACTTAAGACTTGAAAACTCTTAACAGACTTAACGTATTTTTATAATACAACAATTGCAGGGAGTGGATGACGGTTAAAGCAGGATTGCGACTGTTGTCCATTTCAAGTATATAAATAATACTCTAACTAAAAATAGGTTTTTTTAAATGATTAATATGAAAATATACAAACTGCTGCAAATACAAGATACTTTCCTCTTTAGGGAACTGGGAAGACAGAAGGGGACTCACAAAAGTTATATTAAATAACATTATCTTAATAAATATACATAATTCCTTTTTTTAAAAAAAAACCTTTCCTAATCCTGTACCCACCAGCTATGTGGGCACTATTAGAAATACTGGGCTGTTTTATAATATTTTTCAGCAGTTGGGGCTATTATGACATTTATGGTACCCAGCTTCAAATACAAATCATTTTCCTTTACTCTTACACCAGTCCATTTCTCCTATACAGCAAGTACATAATCATTAACTTGCTTATTTAATTTATTTCTAAAGACCTCACTGCAAAGCTAGGTCCCAGGCATGCACGATTCCTATATTATTTATGAATGCAAGGATATACATATAGCACAAACACTCTCCCTCCCCCAACACACAGACAAACCAACCAACCACCAAGTAATTTGTAGGCATGTTTTGTTTTGTTTTCAGGAAATATGATATAAAATTAACAATCTTGGTGGACGTGAAAAATATGTGTCTGAAGAGAAGGAAAAAATAATCCTTTCCTATTGCTCCTTTTTGAAAACTCTCTGTGTAGGAGGAGGAATGGATGGATTTGCACTTCAGGAAAGTGTTTTATCTTCATACTTATACTGAATGGAATGATATTACTACTACTATTTAAAAAGTCAAACAAATCATGTCCCCCTGCCTTGCAGTCCCAAATTGTATAATTATACAAATTGTATAACACTTGTATAATTTTCTACTTCTCGGAGGATAAGGAACAAGTTTTCCCCACTCTGAGCCATTCAAGGTATATTTCAACCTATTTCCCAACTACCATCTTGCCCTAATTTTGTTTTCACATTCATAGATTCAGGAACATTTGAAAAATGGATGTCAATAAAGATTCAGATCTTTCAGATCTTTCCAGTCACAAAAGCATGTAATTACTATTTGTCACTCAATCACTATTTTATCACTTTTGTCACTTGACTTTATTCTGTCAAACAAGCCTACACATGACTTCAGAAACTCAAACTAGGTGTTCCTCGCTTAATGACACTGAACTTACAATGGCACCAAACAAGTGGTACTTATGACCTATCTTGGAAGCTCTAGCTGTTGCAGCATCTAGACACTCAGCAACTGGCTCACAATTACAACACTGCACCATTCAGCAGTCACACAATCACCATTTGCAACCTTCACTGACAAGCAAAGTCAATGAGGAGGCTAGCAGGGGGTTGCAAATGACAATAATATATCATGTTTAATGGGATTCATTTAACAACGGCAACTGGAAAAGTCAGAATGCCAGTGCTAAGTAGAATGGTCATGTAATATTGTGCTTTATGACTGTTTTGCGTAGTGATGGAAATCCCAGTCCCAAGATTGTCGTTAACTGATGACAACATGTACAAGCAAAAACAAAGAATTTTTTAAGACTTCGACTATAATACACTGCCCAGTGACATTAACAGTTACATTAGCAATCATGAAAACTGGATATTGTCTTACACATCATAATGAGCCTCCATACTGTGGCTTGGCTTTGTTCCTTTATATCTGAAGTACTGACTTTTCTCTGCTTCCAAAGTACAGGTAGTCCTTGACTTACAACAGTTCATTTAGTGACCGTTCAAAATTACAATGGCACTGAAAAAAGCGACTCATGACAATTTTCAGGAATGATCTTTGCAGCATCCTTATTATCATGTGAACAAAATTCAGATCCTTTGCAACTGACTCATATTTATGATGGTTTCAGTATCCCAGAGTCATGTGATTGGTTTTTACATCCTTCTCACAAGCAAAGTCAATGGGGAATCCTTACACACTTAATAACAGGGTTACTAATTTATCAATTGCAGTGCTTAACTTGGGCAAGAAAGCTCGTAAAATGGGCCAAAACTCACTTAACAAATGTCTCACTTCGCAACAGAAATTTCAGGCTCAATTGTGGTTGTGAGTTGAGGACTACCTGTAACACTTTTCCAAATTTGTCCCATTGGCAATACTTGATGAATTTTGAGGAAAACATAGCAAATGTTCAAATTTTCTGAGAAATATTGCTTTTCAATATTAATTACTATATTGTAATTACTTGAAAAGAACTGAATGTGTGAAAATACCTTTTTAATCTCTTCTTCTGTACTTGTAATAAATCCAGGATCAGTTCTGACAGTTTTGTAAAAGTAATAGATAAGGCCCACCGTGCCAAAAAAGAAAGGAAGCTGTGAAGTTATATCTGGAAAATGTGGCCTCCAGTTAAGGACTCTTTTTCCATAATTCACATATCAGAGTGCATAAACATCCCTCTAAGCTGTAATTCAAAGTGAAATAGCAATAACACCATGGCAGGAAGAGGCAATAAACAGATTCTAATGCATGTTTTAAAAAGCTTTTAAATTTACAAGAACCACATTTAGCACATTTTGTTACTCATATTTTCAAAAAAGCAGAAATATAAGGCAGGGTGGTATGAATAAGCAAAGCAGATAAAATATCTCAAAAATTAGGAATAGCATAATAAAACACCAATGGATAATAGACAAAAGTTTGGTTACCCATCATGAAATTGTCTTACAGCTGCCAAATGACTTTTGGTTTTGATAGATTTTTATATAGTCTCTCATATTATGAAAATTGGAAAAACAATCCTGGTTTTCCTTGGAGGGAGGGGGGAAATATGATTATACAAGAAAACGGAGGGCATGTCAAGTATTAGTGTTCCAATTCCAGGCTCTTGTAATGAAGGGGTCCTTGGGAGAATCTATCAAATCCACAGCTGATGTACGACTAGAATAGTTTGAGACATAATTGTTCAGCCACGGGAAAACAAATCTTACATTATTTAATATGTGACTTAAAAAAAAAATCTGAAGAAAATGTGTTATCTAAATAAAAGGTACCTATTTCCTCAGAACCCCTTTAGTTCTTTATATAGTATTCAATTGATTTTTTCAGGAGATACATAAAACCTACTATGATTGATAGCTTAGTCAGTTGAGTGAATATCAAACAACGTAATAAATGTAATTTTGTAAAAGAATGTTTAAAAGTCATAAAGCAAAAGCCATGACTGAAAAATTACCAGATATCTTTCTCAAGAGCTAAGTAGATTTATGTGCCTTTGGCAGTTGGAATATGCCCAAATATTTCACATGAATTAATAAAGAAACTATTAATAAGATCTCATTAAAAAGCATGCTAAAAGAAAAATTATCTTGGGAGATGGTAATTAATAATAAAATACTCTTTAACAGAACAGATTAAATCCACTTTAAAACAATAATCATTTATATTCTATTCTATTTTTATTGTTAAACATGGTTTTTAAAAATGGAATTGGGTAAAGGGCCAAAAACTGTACAGTATAGAAGGTACAGTATTTCATATTGTTCATATTTTTCTATTTTACTAATTTAAATTGGAAATTTAAATTGTTTTTATCTTAATATTGCTTCATACTACATATTTTAATATGGTCATGTTATATTGTACACCAATGAATACTGCATAAAAATTGAGTAAGTAAACAATACACAAAGAGTTTAACTTACAAAACACAACTCTGCACCAAATTTGAAGACAATGAGAACATCTTGTTCTGAGGCCACACAGAAATCTCACCTTGAAAAGAAACTTGATTATGCTATCCAGCAACTTTAGGGAAATACGTCTTGAAGTTGAGAAGTATTGTAATATTATTTGCTGTCTGCTAAAGGCTACCTATTTTTTTTTTATTTACGCAGATAATACAGCAAAGTGTGATCTGTGGTTCAAGTACTAGGTTTTTTGTTAATCTCCCTGCTACTGATAATCATCTACATTTTATAATGTATACATTTTGTAATCATGTATTAGCCATGGTTTTTCCCTCTCATCAGCAGAAAAGAATACTACTGTCAAAAAGGTGGATGTATTTTCTAGATTTGTTGGTGGTAATCTAGAAAAATAATCAATACAAATAAGCGTTTTACCCTTCTTTACAATTTTACAGTACTGAATGAATCCCACAGCCATCTTAATTCTGGGGCTAAAATATAGACTCAGATCCTAGAAGGAAACTTTCAATGGCTTCCAAACCCCTTCCATGCTAATAAAATGCTCTACCAACTAGTGAAACACCTATCACACTCCATTTTAAAATTCAATGCACTTTTCTGTCTAGTGATTTCTTAATAGAGAAATACTTTTAAAGCTGTAGTTTCTCAGTAGCCAGTTTAGTAATTACTGGGTGATGTGGAAGAGGAAGTGGAGGGAGATGCTGCAAAAGCCGTACAGTGGCAAAGAGAAAAGATTAGGATGGAGAAATGACATGTAGTGGAAGATAATATTGATGGAAAAGGTAGTAGAGGCAGCATGGGAAAAGAATACTCAAGACACCACTAACAGCCAACTAGGAAAGCAGAACAGGCATGCTACTTTAAAAAAGTCTATTTCTTTTTAGTTTATACATTTAAGATTATTGGCCATCAATAATAATATTTTTTTTAGCAGTAACTCATTTTTTCTTAGCAAATACATTAAATGTTTCATGGCAGCTTACAATATAATATTACAATTTATTTGCAGTGAATTGCCTTATAAAAATCAAGACAGACAGGAAGACAGACAGACAGACACACACACAGAGACACAGACACACACACATACGTAAAGAAAGTCTCCAATTGGTACTATTGTTTTAACAAAGGATATTAGGCAGGAAAGAGATGAAACAGGTCCATGATATCCAAAAGATGGAACTAATCAAAAATGTTACGGGAAAATATTTCATTGTGTTGAATCCTATGAACAACCTAAATGGAACATTTAAAAGTATTTAATTTATTTAGTACATTTATATACTTATCTCTGTCATATATAGAATATCACCTAATTTTAGACCCATAAGAAAAACCCTGTGAAGTAGGTTAACCTGAGAAAGAGTTGCTGTCTAAATTTATCCACTATTAGACATAAATATGTCAAGTAACATTTACACATGTTCATTCAGCACGTGAACTTTCTGATGAATTAAGTTTCTTTATCCAAACATGTTTCTGCAATAGCTATAATATCCTATGTAAGAATTTAAAAAAAAAACCTATTTACATAAATTCAAAAACCTTCTTGGTTTGTAATAAAATGAAAGTTAGAACACAAAGGAGAGAGAATACATAAACCCAGATTTATTTGCATGCAGGATTTTTTGGAACTACAATGGGCACATGCACTCTAGAAAGACATATCTGGTCACTATTGTAATATAGTTACCTAATAGGAAATTAAAAAAATCATAATTGTAATATCTAAAATAGGGATTTCATACATTTTCCATATGGAAGTTATTTCTGTTTAGAAAACACAATGTATGAAAAGGATCTTGGACAATATCTTGGAAGCTAAACTATTGCTAAGATGACTCAGGACACAATGTTATAATTAAGCATTTTTGTTGGAATCTTGAACATTGTTATAAAAGGATGGTATTTTTTTTACCTATTGTGATTTACTTTTCTGATCACCAGACGATGGACTTGATGGAAAAGGAAGCTAGAGCTGGAAAGGGTTAAACTTCCTCTTTTGGCTGAAAGGCAGCTTCCTGTCCTCATAGAGGAAACTTGCCTTCAGTTGCATGTATTGACTTTAGCTGGTTGTGTTTTAACTTCTCCTTTATTTTACAGTCCATTGTCACAACAAAAAATTGCATTTGGAAGACTGTGTGAAAATGGAAAAACATTATGTACCAGCACAATGAATTAACATGCATGTTGACTCTGGAGGCTACTGTCTTAATCTTCTTTCCCTCCTAAGCATCCTCTATTGACCAGAAAGTATATTATTTTAGGTCTAGCTATTGTTCTTGGTTACCAGAGATGAAACAGACAGGAAACAGATTTATAAGCCACAAACATCTGGCAGAAATTTTAAGGACATTAAAATGCTGTTGCTCATACTGTGCATGATACCAATGAGGTAAATTGCAAATATAACTTCCTATCACGTTGCTTAGAATTTTTGTATGATTGTAGCAGCATACAAAATTGATAAGTAAATGAAGATTATGTGGCAACACTTTTATGACAATGCCATTTAGCTCCACTTTCCCTCATGGACATCCATACCCAACTGAACAGAGTGGATCAGTGTAAAGCAGAGGTCTTCAAACTTGGCAACTTTAAGACTTGTGGACTTTAACTTCCAGAATTCTCCATTAACTCCCAGAATTCTCCAGCCGGCTATGCTGACTGGAGAATTCTGGGAGTTGAAGTCCACAAGTCTTAAATTTGCCAAGTTTGAGGATCCCTAGTTATAGAACTTTGGGTGACACAATGCAGTGCAAAATCTGCATTTGCAAAATCAACTATTTAATAATGTATTATAGAAGAATTTGCCCAACTAATTTCTATTTATAGCATATTTTCATTATTAAGGGTGCTGTCAGTCACCCCTCACCCCTTGTGGAATGTGTTGTGACTTAGGGAGAAAGCAGCATTTTTTTAGCTGTGAAAAGGCAATGCATTCTCCATCCATTCTCCATTCAACTATCTAGTAAATGCAGGATGGGAAACACGTCTTGTCTGCTTCCCTGTTTAGGGAAAACAAACTATTAGGTTTGTGCTCTTTCAGATGGCCATTCTCTCTCCTTGCTTATCTTCTTGTGCATTTTGCCTAGAACTTCTGGAAGTTCTACACAGTTGAGACCCTAAGGAGCCCACTCTGTCAAGGTGGGGAGGTGGAATTTTGACAGGTTTTCAGTTCTGTATTGCATTAAGGCTCAAACACGGCAGCATCATTTGCCTCTTCCATGTTTTGTCCCCTCATGTTCTTCAGTCAATGGCCTCCTCCTTTTTCAAGGTCATACTCCTAGTTTAGCTTGTGGCTCTCCTGAGGGTGGCTTCTTGCTGGCATGCTGATTATGGCTGCCAAGGAGATGCTTTTGTGTGGAGGGAACTAAAGAAAAATTACTGTTTCCCTGAGAAGGCTGAAGGGCTTCCCTACAAGACTGAAGGGAAGGTGTTTTCTCCATGGGACAGGAAAAATGTTAAGCTTAGTCTTCGAATTAAAAGTAGAATCAATTCTACCCTGCCCTGTTGATTTCATCTTCAGGAACCAAGAAAAAAATCTACTACATGCTACATAAATAAATTTCAGCTTTGAAACAAAGATGAGCACTGCCCCCTAGAGTCAGAAACGACTAGCACATAGGTGTGAGGGGAACCTTTACCTTTACCTTACATAAATAAATGTAAGAAAAGTATAGATATGCCTACCTTGCAAAAAAAGACAGAGTAACCAACATGAACATCAGCAAGATTCCTTTCAACAGCCATGAGTCAGAATTTAAGCTTGCTACATATCCTACTGTCCATATCAATAGCAATGATGACACAAACAATAGCAAGAACTAAATAAAACAAAATTAAAAAAAACTCATTACAAAATGAAAAAAAATGAGCAAAAATAAAGTGCATGGAAGGGGGGGGACCTTCAGATCTCTCAGATTTACATAATAGCCTCATATAAAAATTTGAAAACTTCTTTATTTTGCTAAATGTGATCTTTCACTTTGGCTCTGTCTCAAAACTAAGTGCTGTTCTCTTTCCATATTATTATTATTATTGTTAGTCATGCAGTCAGCCAGATGTTTTGACTGGATTTGGCTGCACCTATCGACTCCTTCCTTAGGAGATGGAATAAGCACATGTTGTTTGACGGTATTGGCACAGGATGTAAACTGTTCTAAATAAAATTGTCTTTGCAATAGACTGATAGAGACTTTGTCAAAGCCAGTGGTATTCAAGTGTTGCTCCAGATCAGATCAAACTTGTGGTGTCACATTGTTGTCACGTGACGTAGTGTGACTCCCCACACCCCTTCAGCTAAACCGGGAGGTGGATATGGCCAGCATGTGATGCATCCGGCCCATGGGCCACGAGTTTAACACTCCTGCTCCAGATGTTTTGGAATTGCATCTGGAATACTACTTGAACACCATCGGCATTGACAAAATCAAAATAAGTCAATTATTATTAGTTTTAAAAATATGCAAATCATAATATAATCAATTTCTTAAGACCTGCAAATATTTAATGAATGTGTGTAACTAAGCTTGTTAAATTATTTTGTTATTTCCTTGATCTAGCTGCTAAACACCTTAAATCACATCTCCCTATCTATTTTAAACATAAGTATATATTAAAAACATCTGGAATGAAAAGGGGACAGGAAAAAGCACCAGCTCAATAGTAGTTGGTATAATGTAAAATGAAATAGAGAGGAAACTGATTTTGCAGCAAAATCAATAATTAAGGATGTACATATTTCCTATTTTTTCTTTGTAACTACCGAATGGGAGTGAGTGGAATTGCTGCTGCAAGGGAATTAAGTGAAATGGATATATTGGCTATCAATTCCTTATACGCCACACAAACTCTTTTCCTCATCTATCTTTATTCTTTGTTTTCCTTATTTATATACTGCCTCTTATTCTTTAATGGTGACTCTACCAGGAGATTCCAACGCTATTTTTGGGTGAATTGCTATCATTTCTATCTAAAATATCTTTAAAAAAAAAATCTTAGTACAACTTATTATGGTCAATAATATGCTCAGCATCAATTCTTGTCTAGAAAATTCAATTTTAATTATTTGTTTCAGTTTACGATACCTCATTTTTTTCCAGAAACCTCAAAAACACTGATGTTCTTCTAATTCTAATTTTTTCTTCTTCATGAAGTATGTGAATAATTATGCGATTTTTGGTTTGAAGAGCAAGGTCAAGTGGTCTTTGTCCCTTAGGCAAAAACAACATTGTTTTAAAAAAACAGCATGAAATAGAAAACATATCTTTGGGCTGCTTCATTTTAAAATCCTATCTTATTACTAAACCTGAATAAGCACAATAATGTTACACTTATATTTCACAGTGAGAAGCCTACAGCAATGTTTAAAATCTGCAATAGGAAGAGGATTCATAAATAAAATGCTGATATTCAAATAATGACAAAATAATGAGCTATTATAACATAATCTCCCTTCACTGTATAGTAATAGCTTCCCAAATTAAAATCAGATTGTATATTCTAGAAATTAAAGATCAACAGCAATGCAAACTATACTTTGAAACATATTTATTCTGAAGGTCATAGAAACTATCCTGATTTAATTAATTTAAAAATGCTATTTTAGTATGAAGTAAGTAAGTTTGCAATATTCTTCCCCTGCCACGCCCACAAAGCCACACCACATCCACAAAGCCATGCCCACAGAACTGGTAGTAAAATTTTTTGAATCCCACCACTGGGGCCACCGCTCTACTTTCAAAATACATGGCAACAAAAACTAAGGTGAACACACACATAATACTCCTTCCTCCTATTTCCCCCCAATAATAACCATTCTGATATTTACCTAAAATTCTGATGCCCAGGAGGATCTTTAATAATGAGAATGGAATAATACCTTGACATTTTTGATATCCAGACTGG